TCAAACCCTGAATATCCACGGTACCTTTAACTTAAAAGCTGAATCCCACAGAATTTCTAAAACAGAGGAAACAAGATGGGGACAACAATCGCTCTTGCTTTTCACCGTACGAGATTGTTTTCAAAGTGTCAAATAAATTAAACCCTACAAATTGCAATCCCCCATATTATGACATGGTGAAGCAGGACGACTAGACGTAGATTTACTAACCTTATGTGACAACAAATAACCAATAAATGCCAATCGGTTAAACTTATTTAAATCACCTAATTTCTGAAATGAGTGTTAAAAGGTTTTCATATTCGGGAGTTACAACGCTCAGTGACAGAAGCCAAGATTCTTATGAAGTCACAACTACGACAGAAATTCTAAAAACCTGAGCAACAACTTATATTGGTACGTGTAGTGTCCAGACAGTGTAGGCGATCGATAATATTATTCAACTAGCCTCAAAAAAAGAAGATACAGCCTAGTGATCCTCGAAATACTTGAAACCCGTGGCAAGCAATCTGAAGAGATGTTGTAATAAAACGACTTCCCACACACGAGAAGTTTAGCTGGTCTAGTTCAAAGAAACACAAGAAGCGCTTACAGGCTGAGAATCTTGTGAATCCAGTATTTCCAAATCATCCTTCAAGACAAAAAAAGAAAACTCCACAACGAATGAATTTTTCACAGTGAATTCAACGAAACTATCAATATTCACCAATAGTTTCTGAATATGTGAAAAATGTCTTATTGATTCATTCGACTCCTTAAGTCTGAGGTAGACTGTAGAATTACTTCGGACATACAGTAACCTGGACTCATTCAAATTATTAATCTCGTGGAACCTTCTATTGAAGAAGGAACATACTTATTCGAAGACATCTTTACCGGATCTTGCAGATGTACTTTGTGATTTCATGGATTGAAAACTCACACGCCAACTCCAGGAACCTAATTACACTATTTCAAACTGATCTAATGGTTAAAGAATCATAGGGATTCTGACCTAATTTATGGTCATCCTCCCTCATTACAAGTGGCAGTAGGCGCTTTCTAGTTACTGCGAGTTTGAAAGGAGTCAGTGTGTTAACGGGTGGTTTCTTTCTGACGCTCTTGTAGTGACTCACGTTTATCACGAGAACACGACTGGTTTAATAAAAACAATTATTATTATAACCAACTATACCAGTGTTTGTTTTGATGTGCTTTTGTTTGACTGTGCTAATGACAGCTATTTTGTGCTTCCATTCTTTTACACACTCTTTGATTGTAACTTCGCGCGAATTCGGTTACGTTCTGTAACCAAGATTGTATCCTGGCACGATCTCGGTATCCTTTCGATGCCACGAGATCGCCAGCAAATAAACATCGACTTGGTCCATTAATTGCCTTCTGGTATTCGGCTTCTCGGGGATTTTATGGAGTCATTTGGAACGAGCTTCTTACGCCTTCTGATCTAATTGGCACGTGTTTCTTGGTAGCGGTGTTCATAGTTAATCTCAACTCGACGCCACGCTACAATTGGTAATCCCAATCCGACCACATTTGGTGACCCGTATTTTGGAACACGCCTCAGCTTCTGGTCAAATCTTCCAAAGAAGCCAATTCGGTGAGTCTATTATTTATCTATCCACGTCTGTCGTATATTTTCATATTTTTTAATATATAATATACGCGACATGACGGATAACGATAAGAATAGTATTAATATAATAGACTCACACGTATGTGTACCGAATCCTTGTCACTTTTTATTCGCGTGATGATGAATTCCACGCTCTATTCGAGAAATGTTACCCTATTAACGATTCTCCTCGCTGACCCGGCTGCTTGGTACGGAATGCATACGCATAAGCATATCCGTCTACCACCCAGCACCAAATGGTTAAGTTGAACGGTTTCACTGCCAAATTAAAAGTGTTCTACGAGCTCACGAAAACGGCAACTGGCACGAAACCTTACCGCTCGTTCTTTTAGGGGGGAGAACGAGCTTAAAGGCAGATATACAATGTTCCGCCGCTGAACTGGTATACGGCACGACATCGCGTCTGCCCGGAGAATCCTTCACACCACGGAGCAGACCTAATTTCGGTAAATCAGATAACGTCCGTCGACTGTCTGCATTTATGTGAACGCTGTCTCCGGTGTCAACTCGAATACAACATCGACAGGTCGCTCTCCCTCGAGAGTTATCTACCTGTTCACATGTTTTTGTACGAGTAGATTCGGTACGCAAACCTTGGCAACAACCTTACGAAGGCCCTTTTCACGTGATCGCTCGTCACGAAAAGACCTTCAAGGTTGATCGACATGGACGCGTCGAGATCGTCAGCATTGATCGTCTCAAACCAGCACACGTCGATGACAGTGCCCTATCTGGTAACCTGAGATTCAATGCTAGACCTATTAAACCTAGCGGGATCCTTAAATCTTCTTCAGGTCCCACGCTAGATGCATCTGAGACCTCATTCTCACGTCCCAGTCTACAGCACGCGTCATCTGCACCGTCTACGGACGAGACGACAGTCTCACGTCCAGATCAGCAGACCACGCCGCCCTTGACTTCGGATGAGATTGCAGGCTCACGCGACGCGAACGAGACTATCGTCTCACGTTCCGGTCGCCGAGTACGGTTACCCGTACGCTTCCTCGATTAGTCGCACAGTCGACAACCGATACGGTGTAGGAATATTCCTATGCTACTTGCATGCTACACTCTTCTTTTTTGATTTTCTTTTTGTTTCCTGAGCCCACGCCTTCGACCATCTCCGTTTGGTTCCGTCGACTTCAGTCAACTTTGGCGAAAGCTGGCCTGATCACCCACGCTCTTGTCAACGTACTCAGTCGATATATTGGTTTCGAATGCTTGGCATACGCTTGGTCACGAACTTGGTCGTAACGGTCGCTTCTGGTCTTTTGGCTCAACGTGGTTTCGTCCTACGTCTGCAGCGTTTCTGGTGCGCACCTCTACGAACGCCCTCTTCAGATTCTGGATACAAACCACTCTGGTGTAGCATGCCAACTCAAGCAATAAATACAACACATCGCTCCTGGTACCGTTCTCCGATAACGACCTTCGTTGGCAACTCGACGATCATCGATCGCTTTCCTGTTCGCCAATCTTTCCGTCCTACAATCGCTCGTCAGCCGATCAGTCCCACGATTCAAACCGCTATTTATCGAAAGTGTAAACCCTTTCTAGCGGGGGGCTCCTGTAGTGACTCACGTTTATCACGAGAACACGACTGGTTTAATAAAAACAATTATTATTATAACCAACTATACCAGTGTTTGTTTTGATGTGCTTTTGTTTGACTGTGCTAATGACAGCTATTTTGTGCTTCCATTCTTTTACACACTCTTTGATTGTAACTTCGCGCGAATTCGGTTACGTTCTGTAACCAAGATTGTATCCTGGCACGATCTCGGTATCCTTTCGATGCCACGAGATCGCCAGCAAATAAACATCGACTTGGTCCATTAATTGCCTTCTGGTATTCGGCTTCTCGGGGATTTTATGGAGTCATTTGGAACGAGCTTCTTACGCCTTCTGATCTAATTGGCACGTGTTTCTTGGTAGCGGTGTTCATAGTTAATCTCAACTCGACGCCACGCTACAATTGGTAATCCCAAATCGACTACACTCTCATACATGCACTGTGTCTGAAGAATAATTCTGTTTGCAAAATACAATTAAGAGTAACCATTCCGTCAAATAATTATTTATTTTACCCAAGCTTCATGATAATCAGTAGGTTAGTTAATCCAATTAGTCAAGTATTTTCGACCATTTGGTGTTACTGTTGTAAACCGAAGTTTTTTTAGAGAACAAAATTTTTGCCGTGTATCGATGACATATCTGGTTTAACATAGTCTCCTCGACACATTATTGAACCATCTTATCTATAAGACCAGTTGTGACACCTAGGATTAAGGTATCAGTCATCATCTAGAAACCACATACATCGTGACAGATCATAAGATGACAGGACCAAAATGTGACTGGAATAAATTGAAAAAAATCACTTCAATACTGAGCTATGAACTACGTCAAGAAGCGTAAGGAATTAGAACGACTAAATAGGGGAGCCTTGTAAACGTGGACTTCTTGTTTTCCGACATAAAGTTGCAACATGTAAAACGGCTAATAAAATACACGCATTTCAAATTATAAGTAACAGCTGAGCATATACGAATACCGTATGACCAATTCACTTCAAATTCCAGTCTGGTGTTGTATATTACCTACTGTTTCCATATAATATTGTGATAACCACATCCTCAATTACAGCAAACTAGACGTGTTTTAATCCCAGTGGCTCACAATCCAATTAATTGTCGTTCTCATTTCCTTCCAAGTTGTTATCACTTATGTGGTAGCTGTATCTGTTGATAATTTCTCACTATAAAACACTTTGGAACCTTCAAGTCAGTCAGAAGTTTTGAATACCTTTGCCCATCACGATATCATTAATTTTATCATGCTATCTGTATCAGAATTATTCTACTATTAAAACTACTAAAACTTTATAATCGATGTGGTTGACATATTCAATAATATGTTGTAAATTATGCCCTATAATTGTAAGAGAAATTATCGAATTAAGTATTTTTGAATGATTGTGAACTCCTCCTATATAACCTGAGTAAATCCATAAATAATAAGAGAGGATCATAATCAATGTAAATTAAATAGGAAGTTAAAATAGTTATGAAAATTAATTTATATACCCTTAATAAATAGTCAAATACTCTGAAAACGGCGACCATATATGTTTGTTTGTTTTGTAGCATATAATTTAAATGTTTCTTAAATGTAGATTTTTCTCGAACATTTTAGCTCCAATTTGATGTAAATTTCAATCCAGAATCAAGTTACTTATGATATCCAGTAATAAACAAGCGGCTTATTATCTCCATAAAAATATTTTACGACCAATTTATTTTCATCTAGTTCATGTGATCTAAATGAGTGTGTTTAATTCATACATTAAGTTTTTTTCTGAGGATATTCACTTCTCGATGTCTGCCAATTTATTTACATGATCAATGTACAAGTTACTTTTCAAATAGCAGCTGTTTCTCAGTTCTTTGAATTGATTAAATACAAAGTTGCTTCTTGTGTTCATTGAATTTCTTACATAATTTAATTCCACATCAGACTCATGATTATAGTAAGCGATTTGTCTGAATGCATTTAACTTTAAAACATATTTCAATAAAAGAAGTGATATAATTACAATGAAAAGAGTTAATAGAGTAAATATCACAATTGAGGGGCCATTGGAGAACTGTGTAAATTTTAAGTAAGTTGGCTGTATATCTTCAAACGATATTCCAGATTTTGTTTGATTGTTTGAGGAATGTAACGCTGTTGACTTATGAGGAATTGAGGAAACACATAATGATGTTGTACTGTTTGTAAAACATTCATAACCATAAGGGCATTTCTTTGTAATGCAGTTGTATTCTTGATTTTCACAGTTATCTCCATTATAACCAGACGGACATACACACTGATAACCGTTCACAACATCTTTACAAAGTCCACCTGGAATTCAAATGATGAAGAGCAAAATAAAACATTCGATATACACCAACTATACTTGCATAACTTAAAAATACGAAAACTGACTTGGTGCAAATTAATTATATTGGATAATTTTAAGACTAGTGTAATCACTTTCTTGAAGATTCGATATATTCCACCAATTCATTTTATAAAAAAGATTCTACATTCATCTTTATGTATACTAAGTTCCTCAGGATTATGTCATAATGTTTACTGATATTTAGTGGTAAGTGACATTTATCCATTAGAACTCGAATTATCTAACCAATATATTTTGAGAAAAACTTATAACATTACCCCATGAAACATTACTTAAACATTTAGGATTAAGTTCATTCACTTACAAATAAAAATGAATATCATCTACATTCTTTTAAGTCAGTATCATTTTGTTTGAAGACATGATCATTTAAGTGTATCATAATCTGATCCACTTCATTGTAGACATTTGTAGAACTGATATCATTGGTTTCTGCATCCTTTAAATTTACTCTTTTAAGCTGACAAGTTATCATAGCTCCTTCTCTTTCAACGTTAATCAGTTGTTGTATAATCAACCTGTCTTTCCATACGGGTTATTAATGAGAGTATGAAGCAGTTTATTTTTGCATGTTCGATTAGAATTTGTATAACATGACTGAAGAACTTAATTTACTTCAATTACAAGCATAAATATTATAGAAAAATTTTGGAAACATTAATATGAAGTAGAAATATGACTTAACTAAATTGGTTCATTCGCTCATTACACATAAATCGTCAGTTTTACACAAACTATCTCAGATGTCTATTTAGCTCTCACCCTATTATACTACGTCTAACTTTATTAACATTAATATATGAAGAATTATTTTATGTCTGATCGAACATTTGACCAGGTTATTAGTTACTCCATTATTTCTGCCACCGTTAATAAAGTGGTGTAGTTTGAATAATAATCTCTCAATTTTAATCAATCCACGAGTTGAATAAAGTTTACATTACATAATAGTCCTTTTATCGCATTTTACCAAAGGGTAACAATTTTATCCCCATTAACAATCTTGCATTAAAAAAAACTTATTTATTGTAAACTTGACTGTTCTTTTAGAACTAGACTCACAAATGTAGTTTTAGATGTGAATTCATTGAATATAACATTCTTCTTTCATATCTCTTTTCTAATGTAATGGAAATTGTTAAACAAATTTAAAATCAATTTATCATATACCATGTCGGAAACGTAAAGTACAGATGATTTATCACACCAAAGAAAAGTCAGTTATAGAGGATTTAACACACCATTTTTGCAAGGCTTTTCAAAACATTCATTGATGTTAATTTCACAGTTGGAACCTTCAAATCCTGGAGGACAGATACATACAAACTGTTGGCCATTTGAAGGAAATAGTACACCAGTCATTTCTCGTTCTTTACATATTGACCCTGTTGCCTGACATGGAAATTCTTCGCAGGTTGTTTGGTTAAACTGACAAAGATTTCCATGATAACCGGGGTGACAGTAACAGGTTGTCTGAAATATTGAAAAACAACAAAACTTATTACAGATTTTTCTACCAACTCAGTTTCGAACAGAACTATGTCTATGTAAAGACATTTTCTTTTGTTGTAAGTGCCCTTTTTCAGTTTCTAATTTTATCGGTTAGAAAAGAAAGAAAATTCATTAAATTTTGACTTTCTCAGATATAATAAGTTAGAACCTTGGTAGTTCTTTCAAAATTTTGAAAAACAAATGCTATAACCAATACTAGACTGTTATATCCTAACAAAGAATAAATGTATGGTATCTTCTGGGAATTATTTGTGGACTATTATTACGTATATTCTTATTGGGCAACTATTAAGTAACTATATTATATGCATATTCATATTCATTTTATTATAAGCTTCCATCTGACCTATTGACTACTATTATACGATTTACTATTGTTGAGTTATTCCTGATCTATTAGTTACAGTATCTCAAAATTACAGATACTTTTGGCTTGATGTTGTGTAACTGTTGTTTTCTGCTTTATGGAATAATGCTGTCTCGTTTGTTTGTACATAAAACAAGTATGTCTGAAATACATGAATCATACAATGGGAGCTGAAATTGTGTACTGAACTCAAACAGACAGGACTAGGCGAGAAGAACCAATAAGGACTCATAGTTGACTCTAGTCTCCTCGTACTGGTTTATGCGACATTAGTTTGGCGTGTTTTAGTAATATTTTTCCCTACGGGATGGGAGTGCCAACCCCATGCTTAACCTTCCTCTTATACCCGGGCTTGGAAACAGCAGTAACTCTAGAAAATCTACAGGTGGAGTGCTAAGGTCATATAGGTCGATGTACTAATTGGCGATTTAGTCATGTGATATATTCACAAGATATAAGGACATAAATTAGACCACGAAACGTCACCCAATGATCTCAGCTTTAATCTATATATCCTTATTGTTACTTCAAAATACGAAAGATTTTCTATGCAACCATCTTATAGACAAACATTGTTATAAGGCCAAAGGAGTTAATCCGACACTTGACATTGATTTCCTCTTAATTACATATACATCCTGACAAGTGTCAACCGGGACAACGTCTATCTTGAGGGTTTTTTGCCAACCGATTCCAAAACCCAATATAAATCGAAATGCATTATAGCATTAAGTTGTGGGAACTGATGATGACATAGTAATTTTAATAATGAAATTTATCTAAAATACAGTCTATACAACATGATAATTCCGAGCAATCAGTTAATGTATAGGCTTAATTTAATTTGTAAACAATGGCAATTATGTAACTATAAAAGAGAGCACCAACCTTTTGTATCATAGTTGAGTTATACTGTTAAGAAATTAAAATAATCTAAAAGTTCTTTCGAAGAATGATTAAACACGAAAATTAGTAAGAAAATTATAAACTTTACTATTTCGAAGATAATTAAAAAGAAACAAACCATTCAAATTTGAATGCTATTGCCAATCCTAATTGCAATATACCTTGTATAATGGTTAGTTGTACCATAATAACAAATTATATTGACCTCATCAAGTTTACAATATGGATTCTTGTAAGAAATTTGAAAATAAATAGCTTGCATACATTCGTTCAAAAACGAATTAATGAACAGTGATAAAACTTGGCGTTACATAATCAACCTTCAGTTACTCCGTTTAATTTTTTCAGATGCCCTTTTAATTCATTTCTCTTTATCAAATCAATATGAAATTCAGTATCTCTTAATTTAACTGAAATAATAAGGCTATTCAAATAAAAACTCACTAATTAACCCTTAATTTACAGGGTATAGTAAATTTGAACTATTTTCGTTAAAAACAAATTAACTGTGATCTAAAGTGTTGGGGTGATCCAGAGAATTGCTTGCAAAAGACAAGCAAGCATCAGGAATCACTAAGAAGCGTTTTATCCAATCAGCGTCCACTTGAAGTCTTAACCAAAAATATCAAGGAAGCGAAACTTCACATGCAGAGTCCCTGATTGGTTAGCTGCTACACTGCTGCTATGTTTAGTAGCATTCCAGAATCTTCTGGCAACCCAAGGACATTTAAAATATTATAAAAACCCTGTATTTTCTGTATTAAAATGAACCTTGGAGTAAACTACTTCTCACATACTTTGAGTCTTATCTCTCGTGTTCAGGTCGCTGTATAGTTTTAGCTTGGGGGTTACAGAATAGCTTAGGAAACGAATATAGCGTTAAATCCGCAAGACTTATCAATAAAGAGATAAAAATATTTGGAATACTTCTGTTTTTGAAAAGCTTGAAATTATAACCTGGAAAACCTCTGATAATGTACAGTTTTGTTTAGATTAAATGGATTATATTGCATCTAATTAATAATTAAGAATAATAATATTAATTTAACCTACCGATCCTATTTCATGCACAATACATTCTCCATTTGCATTACATCCATGAACTCGACAGTCATAATCAATTATTTCACAATGATCACCATGAAATCCAGGTGGGCAAATACATTGATAAGGGACACCAATATTTGCATCATTATTTACACATATTCCATTGTTATTGCATATATTCAAGTGACTACTACAATAACGTAGGTCTAAAACAAAATTTAAGTCACATTAGAATTCTAAACTTAGTAGACCTGATATTTTATTCATGACTAAGCAATACTAAATCCCATAGAACAAAGAAAACTTAACATTCACTAAAGGTAAATATATATCAAGTTAGGTGGTTAAAGCAAAATATTTTCCTATCCATCTGGCAATTTGTAAGCGATTAGTATTAAATGTTAATCTGGTTGAGTTTCGACTTTTTTGTCTCTTGCTAAAACTATATGTCACATGTTTTTTTGTGATACCAACCGAAAGGCATATAGATTACATGGACATTTGTATTTCATTCCTTAATGTGATTAACATTTTTTGCTTCCCATTGGTTGAGGTAACTGTATTAATTGTCACGCTAACTACTTAAGTTCAATAATCTGGATACATATATTTTAACCAAGGAGAGTTTTGAGCTAAATCAACGTCATGAAATTGAAAAGCAGGAACAATTTAAGGTCAGTATTGAACAATGATGTAGTTCTACGACAAGTTTCCTTAAATAAGGCTTTCTTTTTCGTCACATTATAATCTAGGATAGAAACGAATGTAGTGGAAGTTCTTGGCGAATAAATGTACCGTATGAATTAAAAATTAGCATTATCTAGAAAAAAAAACACATTTTACTAAGAAAGTTTCAAAGATAGACATGAATGATTTACGAGTTCATTGAGTATTTCAGAATCTTATTCAGATTACAGACGTACGAAATTAAAGAACTGGACGTTTCTGCTAGTAAAATTTATAGTTATGAGACAATATAACATTAATCCTATCTCTGGCTCATCATAATGGTTATTTTCAGTCATCTCCCTCATGTTTCGCTCTATGGATTAAAGTATTAGTTAAAGCTTATATTCTCGTAATCAAGTTTATATATATGTATATAATTACTTTACCTTTGTCGCATAACATGCCTCCCCAGCCATGATCACATTCACATGTGAAAGGAATAAGTGAATAATTACGTTTACCAACTTCACAACCACCATGAAGGCATCCAGGATAAACACGACATTGACTACAATCCTTTCCATACCAACCGCTATCACAACTAGACATGTGGAAAAAGAATATTGTTAGAAAAAATCAAATTGTTTAGTAACATTTTAAAACTTTATTAGTAAAATCATATGAATGTGGTTATTTCCAGAAGAGATTCAATAAATGAACCTGTCAAGTGGACAATACAGTGATAATATAACTCTAAGATTAAGATATAAAATTTAGCAATATAACTTTACGAATCAGCTGTAAAGTCAATACTATAAAGCTACATTTATAACATATATATGCACACATTAAAACTCACTGGCAATAACCCGGTTTTATACATCTTCCATGTAGACATCCAAAGTCACATATAGCTTAAATTACAAAAAAATAAAATACATTTCAGAAATTAGTTAATTATTTTTAGATGAAAACGATATTCAGGCAAATTATTTATTTAAGTAACAAAGGAATTAGTAAAACATCTTTTTCTAAAACTCATTCACTTATCAATGTAATCAGTTATATCGGTATTCTAATTACAGACTATGGCTGATCGTGATTACAATCAAAGTAGTCTCAACCATGAACTTAACGTAATTCTATTAGGATAATTTAAAAAAACGGTTCAATTTCTTATGAAAGATGAAACTTCCGATTTAAAAACACCATATTTTACTATTTACAATAACATGGAAATATTTCATTTACTCTTAAACAGTCTAATAATGATTATGTGTAATCAGACAAAAAGAGTTAATTGTTACAAATTATAATAAATAGTTTCACTTGGTATTGTTTACTTGAATCTTCCCATTGATGTTTAGGACTACAATTGATCAGTCTATTATTGGCATATGTGTATACTGTGCGTATTAACTCGCTATTGCCATACTGAGTTCGAGTCTCAGAGTGAACATCAACTCTGAGATGCAGATACATCCAGCTGACGAGTTCCAAATAGGACGAGATGTGTATCCTAGATTCCACTACTAGCCACTATCCACCTTTGTTTATAATAAATAGAGTTTATTTAAACATTTTTATCTTTTGATACTAATTCTTATTTCAAATTGTAATTTATAGAAGCAGTCAATGTAATATAGTTGTTACTAACGCACAGTACCTCCTTTTAATTTATTATTATTATTAAAGTGAATAATAAACATATTGACATTTTAGATGGTGGTTAGAGGTAGTCGACAGGAAAACCTGGACCCGGGTTTCGGGCTACTTGGCACTCGTCAGCAAGATGTACCTGTAATCTTAAGGGAACTGGTGCTCCATGACTCATTCGATCCCGTATTACCTAGTTTCACTGTCAGAGACGTTACCACTGAGCAGGGAGCTCCAGTTCCCCCAAGATTACAAGTACACCTTGCTGACGAGTGTCAAGTAGCCCGAAACCCGGTTCCAGGGTTTCCTGTCGACTACCTCCAACCGCCATTTAATCTCAATATATAGTGCCCGCAGTGTCGAGTCACCTAGACTGTTGGCCACATTGCAACATGGTTGATAGCATTCGATCTGCACTAAATAAGGACTTGACACGCATGACATTGATCACCACCCAGTGATCAATCAATTGCCATATTGACATTTTGCATAGTGTTAAAGACTATCATTTTTACTATGATAACAATGTTAATTACATGATCTATTGTTCTTACATTTTGGATTACAATAAGATTATGTGACTAAACGGTTCTATATAATAAAATAAAAATGTATTCCTATATTTTTCACTTAAATGACACTCATGATAACCTTTGGTAGGTAACACAAAAATGAAATAAACTTAATACTCAAGTCTTAAAGTGAAATCATCAGTTAGATAACTTGGAATTTATTAATTGACATCAAGTTAAAATCTATCAATTTCTTTACCTTGGGGTTTTCAGAAAATAGTAAAGCATAAATACAATTAAGAATATTTGTATAAAAATTAAACGTTTATTCAATTTAATTATGTAGAATATTATTTTTAACTTTTTATATTAAATTATCTCACCTTCGGTACATGTCTTACCACTCCAACCATGTTGACATATATGATTACCTGTTTGTTCATCACATTTATAATATCCATGAATACCATTTTGTTCTTGACAAAATATTTCACAATAATTACCATAGAAATTATTATTACATAATACTTGATAATGAATACTTAAATCATCATTTTGATTACTTGAATTAGTAATATAATAAGTAGTATTATGAATTCTTTTCAATATTTGATAATATTTCTGTTTTGATGGATGTACATCTTTCAATGATAAAATGTAATATGTTTCATTAATCCCTAGAATTTAAGTATAAAATATACCGTAATCAATGTTTTTTTTTCATTTTGAAATTAGCTATAAAATCATGTATTGAAATTAGTAAGAGAAACATTAATGAAACCCAAAATGGTTGCTGAGTAAGAAATAAGTACTTTCGTCTAAATTTGATTGAATAGTTTCACAATATTTGGGCACCGAGTTAATGTGAGACATTAAAGAGGAAGAACAGGTATTTGTAAAATTTCAGCGAAAGAATTTGAAGTAAATCCAACGTTTCATCTGGCAATCTGGTCTAAGCTTTTCCTTGAAAATACATTCTTCTTCTTTAATGTCTCAAAATGGTTGTTGTTTGTTTTACAAATAACATCAAAGGAGGAGACATTTAAAACAACTAAAATAAACTATCAATCCATTAGTATTCAATAACTAAATCTCATCATCAATTTATCTCTTAATATTTGAGAAATTCCCATACAAATTCCCAAACAATATTGTTTTCGATTAGATCCTCATCAGGCTTCACTCTGACATACTGTAATATTTATATGCATATACGATATTACTAAACCAATCAAGGTAGTTTATGAGTCAATGATAACAATGGAAAAGATGACATAATAAGTGAAAAGTAAAAATTGTTAGTGTGATAACAGGTGTACTAGTTTTGATAAGAATCAATGTTACACAATCGGGGATAGGTCAATGATTAGAAAAATATAGGCAGTGAGATTGCGTAATAAGAAGTATTCAGATAATTAGATGGTGGAGCGTATATCTGAGAGAAAAAAGGGTGGGAGTGAAGAAAAATAAACGAACAAAGAGTATTGAAAATGATAATAGATAAATTCATTTATTAAGGCCAAAGGAGAGATAAGGGTGTTACAAATTTCTTATGAACACAAAGACATGGATTGTTGGCTCGAATCCTTATAGCTTCTGCTATGTGTAAGAGACGAGATCGTATATGTATATAAATATTACTGTATAACAGAGTAAAGCCTGATGAGGATCTAATCGAGAACAATATTGTTCGCTTATATATGTTATCTCTTAATAGTTCAAATTATGTTAGAAGCCAACTCAGTCAGCTATCAGGAAGTTTAAACAAAAAATAATCCTAACATTTAACAATAATAGATCTATTATAAAAGATGATTCCCGATTACGATATTTTTCCAGAATAATGAGTGATACTACTGTAGTGAACAAGAACACCAGTGGGAACAATCGAGTGTATTCAACACAAAATTACAGGACTTGTTAATCAAATCTAACAATCATAAAGTAAATGCCTTATTTGCAAAATGTCCACCAATTGTCTCAGAATAACTCAGACTTCATTGTTCTTGCATTTTCATACAAATTGCATTCTGTTTCGACTCTTTACTGTTCGATCCCCTTGTCTCTCTGCTGTCAGGCCTTCTGTTCACGACTAACATCATATACTACTTATATCAATGTAAGTAGCACACACCACACTACTATAGCATTCAAACAGAAGTAGTCAACAAGGTGTTCCCAGCTACATCGTCACTCTAAGTTAATTGGTAAGAAGATTAAGTGAATGGCAAAATGTTGTTGTCTGTTAAATTTCTTTTTTTTCTTAAGAGTTCAATATTTTACACTGTAAATTCAATTCAGGTGTTGTAGAAAAATAAATGTCTCTTTTCGTAGATAATAAACATTTTGGATTTGTGTGAAACGTTTAAACATTACCTGGTTTGAAATATGAAGTGCTGGGTTGCAACTCAGTGATTTTTTTGTCTATAGCATGTATAGGTCACAGTTACAACCTGGTATAAGTTAGCTGATGAATACATCTAAGGAGTCTTAGAACACGACAAAGTAGTTATTCTGTGTCCTATGATACCTATTAATTCTTTCTAGAAAACTGATTTCAACTATGTGTTGGTGAAATTAAGACAGTAAATTATACTCATTAACTTCTTAGAAATTTTAGTGCTTGAATTTAAAGGGAATATAATATTTGAAAAATGAAAGATTTCACTGTATTTGCGGAAAGACTCCCCAATAAATTATTATGTTATGAGTTTTATGCAACGTCAGTAATTCGAACAATTATTATTGACAAATAAGTATCCAGAGCTGTTCGTTAAGATTAAGAAGGAAGTTATGTGCTACAATCGTGAGAATATGATCCTTAATAGCTGATATAATGAGAGAACCTAAAGAAATCACAGGACGTAAGATGTAAGCAAATGTAAGTTATACTGAGTGAGTCACTTATTCATACTATTCAAATCACCGTCTATATATCCATCTCTACGTTTATCTTGTCACTTATAAGTACTCAATTATTCAATTTTCTCAATACAGCATTCTATGCTGTCCCATTTTCTCTCGGTTTGATTAAGCTAGTCAAGTGATAACAATCCACATAGTAACTGAATTGAACCACAAATAAAAACATTTAGAACAAATTAAGACCATTAACTATATCTTTATTTATCTCAGCCGAGAGTGTATGAATAAGAGACACACTATATTGTAGTAACTCCGAAAGATTTTGTTAAATCCAAGAAAATGTTCATCTTTTTGTTCAATTTCAACTTTTATTTATTTATGAAGGAGTTTAACAATAAGGACTTCATGATTACTGACACTTTTTTCATTTTATTATAAATAGTAATAAACCTACGTGGATTTATATTCATCATACAACACATTTTGAATTGAATAACCAGTAAAATATCTACCTGTAAATGAAATATTCAACATTAAATTATTCAAATATCATCGGATAACATAATTATGATAATCAGGACAATAATAGTATAGTGCTAATAAATAAACTTTTTGATTATGTAACAGTTATGATTTCTTAACAGATAACGTTCATGCTTAATGCTCCATCTTTTATATTTCATTTATTTATTTATTTGAACATATAAATCTTGGTACGAAGGGCACCGAATACATGCATGCCATACAATTCACTTGATTTGTGTGTGGGATATGATACTACCCAGGTGCCCAGACGGAAGCAGGTAGTTTTCTTAGGAGTCCACACCCCGAGCCTTTGACCTAAAGGTCTGATCCACAAGTCAATAGAGCGACGTCAGAAAATGCAGTGCCATGGTAGCCGGTGACCAACGATTGGTTCATACACCATCTGTTCCCTTAGAATCCTGAAGCCGACGTGCACTATTGGATTGGAATCAATGTTTTTCAACTCCCGTAGGTAAACTCTCCGCGTCAACCAACCCAGTTAAAGCGCCGGACATTTGATTTTAGTCCTCTTAATTTCGTAAACAACACTTTCGTCGCAAGAATGTAGTGAGTAGAACTTCACTGGCAGTGGCTGTATACGCGTGGCCATTGGGGTGCACTTTAGGAGGGCAAGTGGACTCTCCCCACCCTCAGACGTTTTAAGGTATGTGGGGGTGGGAATTTTCATTTGAATTACATTCTTTCTCATGTCGACGATTATCTTTTTTTCAATATAATTTACCACCTTTTTTCAAAACTTTAGATTGAAATTTCAAGGTGTAATAATTACAAAACACAATACAAGTTCATCTACAGTAGTTGAGAAACCATTCGTCATTATTGTATAATTTGCTAAAGCTTAATAGAAAAGTTGATCTAACTTATGTACCCTATAGACCTAACAATTATGTTTTTCTTAATTACTTCTCAGCATGCTTTAGCAACCACAAAAAGTATGAAATATGCTTGTTTTCATTTCAAGAAAATACATTACACTAGGTCTAATTAATAATATTTTCTCTTCATGATCTGGATTATCATTACGATTGCAAACTTTAAAAACAATTTGTTTGAGCAAAGTCTAATTTCACGTCTGTTCTTTTTTAGGAGCCAACCGAAAAAAACGTAAAGTTGTTAAAGTATAAAAATGTGCAAGCTTTCAAACGCTTAGATCCGGGTGCGACTAAAAGGTGAACAAACATCATGTTTGTTGCATTATATATATAGTGAACTGGACTGTAGTATTCAATTTGTCAAGTTAATCATCAGTACAGTGGCTGGTTACACATGTTTGACCCAATATTATCGTGTTCACTAAGATACCCACAAGAAGATATATATCAAGCAGTAGCAAATGAACTTACAGGCCAGACATCTTTATACACTACTGATATGTTGCTTCTAGTGTAATTACCGAGAAAATTTGATTTCGATAGTGTGTCAACTGTGACTCCATATTTGCAATGTGTAAAATCATTAAAGCTCCATAAATCAGAAAATGGTAACAAACAAATCTATAATAGAAGAAATCAAAACAAATATATTGAATAATATTTATGAATAATGTCTGCAAATTTTCATTTCTTTTAAACACTTGTTTTGAATAATATTAATTATATTGTACATTGAATTCAAGTTGTTACGCACCCTTCGTCAATATTTATCTTTAAGATAAAAATAAGTCTCACTACTTGAAATCATGAGTCAATTGAAGCTAGACCACCATGGAAAACCTGGAAGCACTGGAAGGTCGTTTTGTCCTAGTATGGAACTCCTCAGCAGTGCGCATCCATGATCCCGCCCCCATCGAGATTCGAACCCAGAACTTATCACTTAGCTGTTAGACCAATGAGCAGGCATCCAACGGTGTTAATGTCTAACTTCAACTAATTTCAACTGGTGAAATTTCTAAAATCTTCACAAAAACCCCTTCTTAAAATAAATTTATCAAATACAAAGTATCCAGAGATTAAGCACTTGCGCGTGTGACCAATAGGTTCTGAGTTCGAACACCGCAGGGCAGGGTTGTAGATGAACACTGCTGAGGAGCTCCACACTGAAACGAAACGACAGTTCAATGCTTCCAGGTTTTCCATGGTGGTCTAGCTTAAATTGACTCATGAACTCAACTATTAAATTATTATACTATCCACAAAAACCCCCATTCTGATAATAATCTTCAAAATGTAAATTATTTACATGCATATTACTTTATCCAAGAAAAAAACAGCACTAGCAGCCTCCAAACTTTTTCCCAACAATGTTATTATTCATTTTGTTTACTTGTAACTTACTTTTAGTAGTAGACAAATTTCAGGCTTTTCACATGAACATTTATTTTTTTGCTGATTCCTCTTATTACCTATTATTTTCACTTATGGTTTATGCCAGAGTTTTCTGTTACTTTAACATAAATTTCCGTAACAACTTTTATTATTTATCGATTAGTAAAAATGACCAATTCTTAATACCATATTTTTGTGAGTTAAGGACAGGATTGATAAAAAGTGATTTTGGAAAGCTTTTGCTCAAGTAAATTGTTTAATGGTTCAAACTTTGAAAAAGAATTTCCGAAGCACTATGTTAAAAAAAGGAGTTATCCTCAAGGATTCTTTAAAGATGTTCACTAGCAAGGTGAAAAGTAAGATCTTAATAAACAACAAATGGAACAACAACCAAATCACACAAAATGGCAAAGTTCTGGAAGAGGTGGAAGCTTTTACATACCTAGATAGTACCATTAATAAACAAGGGGGGTCTAATGCACATATAAAGACATAGAATGGGAACGCAAGGGCACTATTCCTACAATTAAAGAATATTTGGGATTCAAAACAGCTTAACTAAAATCAACGTCAGAATTTTCAATACCGACACTGAAACAATTCTACTGTGTAGAGCTGATACTCGGAGAACTACAATCATCATAAAAAGGTACAGGTAGTTAAGAGCAAATGTCTACACCAACTACTCTGGATCCGTTGACCAGATACCATCAGCAACAATCTTCTTTGAGAGGGAAGAAACAAGCTTTCGGTTAAGGAAGAAATTAGAAAAGGACGTTGAAGGTGAATAGATCACACTTTATGGAAATCATCAAGCCGCATCACAAAGCAAGACCTAACTTGCAATTCTCAACGAAGAGGAAAACGAGACAAACCAAATAACACTCGGCCTTGAAGATCAGAAGGCGATAAAAAGCCCTCAAAAATATCTGTGAAGAGGAGCATATCTAGGTTTGCTTAGAGATCCGTGATTGATGGTTAACGCCCCGCGAGAGGTAATATGCCTAATAAATCAGTTCCCGACTCCGTTTTTTCGATATTATTACCGATGAATGAATGTCCATAAGATTTGCTTAGTTACATCTCTATTCTTTATTATTTCTTTTATTGAAATGATCGTTAAAAAACGTAATTTAAATGCTGTTTATTTATCGATCAATCGATTGACTAAGTTTATCGACTTAACTGTTGAATTGGAACTACGCTTTAAAAATTTTTAATACTATTTAAATCCACTTATTCCTAAACTTTAAAACAGGAAGAACGGTAATTAACGTGAGTCCATCGGAAATGTTTGTCTAATCGATTTTCTAAAAGGAGTCTATATCGTTAAATCAGAAACTTGGTCTAGTCAGTTAACATCAAAATCTCGGAAAACACGGATAGTATTTTGAAACACTTCAAAACGTTTGTTCTTAATAAACTGATTCATGCCGTTTAATATAAAGGATAAGATGGAATATCACAAGAAAATCAACACCCTGTATGATTGACAAATCATGATAGATTATACGTTGGATAGAACATATTTCCCTATATCTGCTTATTGTTGAGTAAAACAATTCAACAGAAAAATATTTCATCTTCAGTATCATTCGATCAGTTTGTTTTATTACAAAATTCAATTATATCTCACTAATTTACTAAACAACTATAGATATACACTAGTTGTTGTTTTACTTGTATCTTCCTATTATTATTTAGAACTGCAATTGATCAGTCTCTTTTTGGCATAATTGTATCCTGTGCAGATTGCCTCGATCTAACCTTAAGTCACTTAAGGCCTAAGTGGATAACGCGATGGCGTTTGAAGCGAATAGTAATGGGTTCGAGTCCCGGAGAGAACATCGATTCCTAGATGCAGGTACATCCATCTGATGAGTCCCAAATAGGACGAAACGCGCGTCCTAGATTGCACTGCTAACCACTATCCATCTTTGCTTAACCATAGATATCAGTAGTTTTTAAAAAATTTTATTGATTTTCTCTACAGATCTCTGATAAACATCACATGAGAAGGATTACTGGCTAAAAAAAGGATTGTAATCTTCAACTATCTTGTCACCTACTTAAAAATATGACAATCAAAATTTCAAAACTGTACTAATAAAATCAATATGCTTATTATTTAAGTGTTTCTCACTTCAATTTTAGTACTGAAAATCATTCATATTTAATGAAATCTCAACTGCATATCTCTACTTTTAATATGATCTGTAAGCATCAAGAGATCATAATTATTTTTTCATTTAAAAGTTTAAAATCCCTAACTATCAGAGTATGTGTTTCATTTCATAGCTTCAATATTTAATAATCTCGAACTAAAAGCTTGACTGAATGAATAGATCATTCTGTTTATAGTAATAATAATGTTAGTTGCAAAGCATGTTATACTTATCTAAACTCACTTTAACAGAAATACAGCTGTCTAAAAACGGCGAAAGTAATTTGTCATGTTTTTCATAATCAAGAGAATTATTAAATCGATGATCTATTGAATGAACTTCTGAATGTTTACATGAAAACAACCGTAAAAAATTCGATAAGTTATGTGGAATTATGTTAAATTGAAACAAGACATCGCCTTGAACAATCTGAAATACAAAGCGTGAAATTTAAATAAAATGAAATAGTTAATCTTAGTTTTATTGAACTTTAAAGAATAAAACTTACTATAACTATATAATAAAGCTTTTATATAATTACCGGTTGCGCACAGTTAACTTGTAACAAAATGCTACGTAAGGCAAACTTAATGTCGACTCAGTGGTTTAGAGATTAAGCGTTTGTGCACGAGACCGAAGGTCCTGGGTTCGAACCACGAGTGCTGAATCGTTGATGAGCACTGCCGAAAAGTCCAAAACTAGGACGAAACGGTCATCCAGTGCTTCCAGGTTTCCAGTGGTTGTCTATCTTACATCGACTCATGAATTCAAATATTAAAAAAACTTAATAACTTTTAACAATTATTGCCTTCTGGCAATTATAAGAGGAATAATAAATCTACTTAATATTTTATTTTTAGTCACAATAAAAAATTTTAAAGATGACATATAAAAGCTCTTGTCTTCTAAACATTTAAAATGTAAAAATCGAGAATTGCATAAATTCAGTGTTTCGTCCAGCAATCTTGTCTGAGTTCCTTCATGGTTATAATTAAAATTAAAATTGTCGATGAATATTTTATGTTCAACAGTCAAGTCTACAATAAAAGCTTATCTAATAACATTCAGATGACAGTTTTATTGAGTAGGAAAATATGAGTCAATAAGATGTGAATAATGTAAAAATTTTGCAAGGTGAATAAGCACATATGTGTATGGGTACTTTTATGCTAGTATTCGTTAAAACTTAGTTCTAAAAAAAGAAAATAATTCGACGTCGGTCTACTACTAAGCTTAAAGAGCTTGTGACTTAAGGCTACATCGAGGCAATCCGCGCAGAATGCACATACGTCAACAAGAGACTGATCAATGGCAGTCCTAAATAACGATGGGAAGATATAAGTAAAACAACACTAAGTGAATTTAACATTCACGCCATTGCACAAGCAAATGGCTATCAGAACTCAGGAGCTAATAGAATAACGGGATGGCGTTTGAAGCGAACGGTAATGGATTCGAGTCCAGGAGTGAACAACAACTCTGAGATACAGGTACATCCAGTTGACGAGTCTCAAGTAGGACGAAACGTGGGTCCTGGTTTCCACTGCTAGCCACTATCCATCTTTTAATTATTGTGTTCGTTTAAAAAATAAAGAATAATAGTATAAATCGAAAAGTTTTGAAATGTAGAAATGTATGTAAAATGAGAAATGTTATATACATAGTTGTGATTTTTAAACATTTTAATAAGTTTTTTTATATAATGCTACGTGTAGTGATAAGATTCTAATTATTTGTTATTAAGCATTTCCTAAGGAGTATGTGGCTGTATTCCCTCTTTTCTGATCAAACAGTTCTGATTAAGTCATATGTAGCTCATCTTCTGTAAATTTTTCTTTGTACGCACCAGATCCTTTCTGAATTATTTCAGCCCCTCTAAGGTTCATCTTGTATCTTGCTTCTGACAAATATAGTGCTATTCTCGATTTCACGCTACGATTAAAGAACATCTGTCAAACAATATTCGTGTCTTTTCAACCTCACATTCAGCTGTATAGATATCCTTCCCACATAAATCGCAGTGCATCCATGACATTTAATCTCATAGACAAAATCATGCTCCTCTTCCTTTGATAATCTATACTTGAATCTAACTAAAGTCCATCTTACGATATCACTAGCCAGGAAATATATTATATTTATTTGGAATCCTATTGATTTTCTCCGATGCTTTTGCACCGAATTCGATTATGTGGATGTTATTCAATTCTCTCGGTTTATACTTCAATACAGTATCTTTTTTTATCTTTCATGTTCTTCTTTAAAAAACTATTTAGTATAGATTTTGCCATAAATGTAGACAGAATCAAGTCTAATTCAATCTGTTGATCTTCTTACACTGTAACGAGATTACAGCTCCTATTAATTAAATTTTTCACATCTGTGACCTTCAAAAAACATCCACTTATTGATCCATAATCTGAATATTCCCTGCATTTTGATTTCAGAAGTACACCAATTGTCATCTTATTGTTATGTATCTTTTCAATTCAACAATCGTAAGAACCTAGTTTGTGGTCAACAGATTCTATTTCCTTGGTTAGTTTAATGCAATGCAATAAGTTATTTACACATTTAAATATTTATTGCAAATAATCTCGCTTGATAATGACAAAAGTTTACATACCGTAACTAAACTTTATGCGGAATCGCATACAACATGGTCACACAAGTTTCGAAGGAATGCATGAATAAATTTATTACAATAAGAGAAACTTATTAAGCCATTTCTACACCCTTTTTGTCCAAAAAGATGGCGAAATAAGATGGATTGCAGACACAATTCCAAGCATTTATTAACCTTGGAATGATCGAATGAGCGCCGTTAAATTCAAATGTATCAGATTGTCGAAAAAGCATAAATAACAGGATTTGTTTCAAGTTAGAATGCAAGTTGGTTTACAGAAGTGCATGAGTACTTACAATCGAATTTTCGCGTTTTGCTTTTTTTAGTTAGTTCATAGTATTGCACTGGCTAGTTGTATTCTACCAACTTTTGTATTTTGAGGCCACTAACTAATAGCAAACTAGTACAAGTAAACTACATCCTTCATATGTTTAGTTTTTAAGTTATATCCATACAAATCAAACTCCAGTGCCTGATCAGGAGAAACCATAAATAATGAAGAAGAAAAAGCTAAGATCAGGTCTCTCACTATACATAACTTAACTGACAAACTTCAGTTAAGATTTTAAAAGTGAACTGTCTCTGTCCTGTAGACCATTTATATAAGTAATCTAGTTCTATGTTAACTCATCAGCAAAAACTATCTTAAAACATGAAGAAAATAATATTGTTTCAGAAAACTGAACAAATATTATTCACTCTCTGCTAAAAACTATTGTTACAAGTCAATTAGTAACTAAAAGTGAATTAACAACTGAAGACATGTCAAGTGGCACTATGTTAAAGTTTCCTGATAAATCATACAAAAGTGTGAACGTACTTCATTGAATAACTAAGTTATTAGCCTAATCATGGTAACCACGTACAAACCAACTCTCTGAGACATTTTAAATACCCATAAATACATGAAAATTTTATTCATCGTTCACTTAAGTAAACAAATTTCTCCTGAATCTCTTTTTGCATCATATACTTATATTTCGACAGGTCAAACGTCATAAGTGACCGATTATGAATGAATCAGATAAAAGAACACATCTCAATGTAATACTAGTTATTCTTTTATACAATTTAAGATATAATATTTTTCAAGGTGACGATCGAGCCATTCTAGTCTATTATTTGAGCGATTTCAACAATAAATATCTACTTATTATAGCATGAAGATAGCACTTTGTATATTTAATATATATGTTTTTTATCCGTCATTTTGAGTGATACTACACTGTTCATGACAGATAAACTTGGATAACTTCAGATGCTTGAAGAGAAATCTACTGTGAAAGTTACACTCATATGTAACACTTACTCTTTGAGTTAACAGAAATGTCCAAAAATGATAACACCACACGCTTATTGAACATTGAAAAACTGATGTATAAACTCATGACAACATTTTATTTTATACTAACACTTTATTCATGAAATATAATTACCGTTTTTTAAGTTTATTTTATTGTGGTAATTCAGTTATATTATTGTTTGTAAGCGTAGAATAGTCAAAACTCAATAATGGACTCTATTTTAAATATCTAGTATTTTCCTTTCAATCAGTGAGTCTCTTTAATGATTTTAAATAGTTCTGAAGATATTGAAATGTATTGTCAACGACATTCATAGATGACTATAATAAACTTTGTTGATATGCTTAATACTGCACTATATATAATTCTATAGATAGCCTTATCAACTATGTGATAATAACCAAGAAATCCAGTACTAAATAACAGATGTTCGTAGCATAGAAACATTTATTGCTTTGAATACATTAAGTATGAAATTACACTTTAAGATTTATCTAAAGTTAATTTGAATAAGAAATTCTTAGATACGCATAGTTGAACTATAATCACTTAGCTAAAATACATATACTCCTTCATTAGACAAATCTTATAATCGATACTATCTTAGAATGTAAAGTCCAGATACACTCGCTAAATCTGCATGATGTATTTGAGTGAAGCTTAGAAACAAAAAGAGAATGTAAGTGTAATGATAATGAGTAGTATTATTCAATAAGTAGCTTTGTACATCATTTATATGCATCATATTATGACTCATTGTTATGTACATAACTATTATATATTCAAGCTTAATATAACTGACAAATCGTTTGTAGACAGATGAATCTTCATTCACTAAAATGAATATACATATTGTTTTCACTTATTTTAAAATTAAATTACCAATACTTTACTGGGTAATAGCTTAGATAAAAGCAGTGTGTTAGTACTTGTCGGCGATATTTTTCTAAGCTCATATGATATAAAGGAGAACGAAGAAAACTGTATCATTCATTTATACAAACACAAGAATCAAAGTCAGACTAAATGTACACGATTTAAGCAGAGTGATTTTCAAACCAATTATGATAATATAAGTTAGAGTTTTGATTTTTAATCAATGACTGGATTTGCTTAGTAAAAATAAGATATATACGGCTCCTAAAGCCTTCCTGGTTATCAGAAAAAATGTAAGTTACAAAGGATAAAAGTTAAAGGAGGCTATAGTGAAAGGTTTAAATCCACACTTTCCTTTAGAACAAATATCGAGATATGAATTAAACAAGAGTTCTAAGTTATCTAGCCTTAAATATTAATGAAGTTTTATTCATCAAACTTGCGACGTGATTACTAGGCTCGATAAATCGTTAGCTTCCAACTGTCTAACATGCATAAATATACATATGCGTTCTCACTTATTTTGAAGAATGCTTGCCAACTATCCACGTTTAAGTTTTGTCAAAGTTCATTCGTATTTTTTAGAAATGAATAAGATTATCACTAAAGTTTTGAAATTTCCAAATTGTATTGTAAGCATAGGCGTCTGCACGATCTATGAAATTTGCATCACGTCTATAGATCAAAATACTATAGACTAAACTTAGAAGTGCTCATCCACGACCCCGCTCGTGGGATTCGGGCCCAGAACCTCCGATCTCGCGCACGAGCGCCTAACCTCGAGACCACTGAGCCAGCATCTGACAAAAGCCGAAGCTTAACCTGGTCCAGCTGGGGTGTATATATACATACATATATATAGTACATTATTTTGTTAAATTTAGTCAAGTGGGATAATACCTCACGCTCCCTTATATAAGCAACATTATACCAATGAATAAAGTGTGAATAAATGAAAGACTGAGAATTCCTTTTATGCTAATTATCTTATTGGTTGAAGACAAAGTTAAGAGAAAATCAAAGCTTTTAAAATGAAAAGGAAAATTGTAAAACAAGCATCTTCAAAGAAGAAATTGAAAGTGATGTATAAATATACTGAGACTAGTACATGTACTATGCCATTTAATACTTAATCTTTTACTGTTAATCAACTGCATTCCTGTACATATGCAGTGGTTTGTGTAATTAAAAAAGTAATGATTGTAATCTATAAAATACTATAACATTAGTAAACTGTTAAACTGTGAATAAACTTTTGTATTAGCTGAATTCCACCTCAGAGAGTAGTTTACTTTGACTTTTGATACCAAGAACTTTATTTATATGTCATCATCTTTATTAATCTTCTTTCGCAAACGAACCTACGCATTTTAGTATACAGATCCACAATTCAAATCATTGTAAATTATGGTGAAACTTTATTATGTATTCTTCTAACTATAAAACTAATTAATTAAATATAATTAAACAATAAAACTATCCCACTTTTAACATTTGTGTTTAATATGTTACTACTATGGGAAAGATTATTTAAAAGCAGCTGGTTTATTGAATACTGTAATGTTAATTTGAAACTTCAGTGAAAACTTAAAAGATGTTTAACTATTTTATTTTTATAAACAAGAAATAGGTTCATTCAGTCATTATAACAGACATTTTACGTAGGTTGTCTATTCTAAAATGAGTGTTTTTTTTTCATAAACGGATTTGATAAAAACATTCTGTTTATTTCATGAACTTGTATAAGCTTGTACTTCTGTTTAAGGTCTACAGAAGTTTATATATATGTAATAGTTTTATGTCAATGTCGAAGATGATAATGCAACATCATATTCAACATCGAACGCTTGCTGCCGATTACAATACAATTCCGGATCACGTTAGCATTTACCCGACAGATTTATCTGTAACTTTAAAATAATATATCCATCTGCATAATATTTGATTTATTCTCTTCCAGTATTCAATATGGCAAACAAGATTTTCGTGTTGATCAAAGCCTGAAACTTGTATAGCAAATAAAATTACGATATGCGAAACCTAATATCAGATAACTTATAAGTAATTCATATTTCACTTATATATTAACTCACTAAATAATCATGACTTGATCGATAAAACACCTTTAATTCATCAAGAAAATTGAATACAAGTACTTTAATTCTATTCTATAAAACATGATAAATTTCTCATATCACCAGCATCTTCACTGTAAAAGACTCATTGAAACTTTAATAAACAACTTTATAATAAAATTGAAGATTTATTTTATTTGTTTCAGAGTGGTTATCCAACTAGACTTTTATTCCGATAAACAGTTATATATGGTCTCTCTATATGCTAATTAACTACATTATTTAATACAACTAAGAGGATAGATTTTAAGTTAATAATTTTTCCCAGGATACAATGAAACTTTTAGTGTAACCATAAGAACTGAAAGTCTGTTCTGAAATCTTAGCATTGTATTTATTATAAAATTATCTTTGCTTTTGATAAACATACAACTATTGTTTTCTTAACTTCATAGAACTATTATCTAATCTTGCTTTAAAACAGATAGATATATTTTCAGTTTGACGTTGTGGAGATGGTTGGATTTAATTGAAATTATGAATTGATCCATGTTAGACCTGAAAGAACTGGATGGCTGTTTCATCCTAGTCTAACATTAATCAGTTCATGATTTCAATGAGATAAATATATTTTATATAGAACAAAACTAAAATGATTCTTTACTTTACGATTAGTAATCTAATGATCAGCTGTACGCAAGTATGCAAACAAAAATCACTCGTCTTTTACTACAATAAACTGATACGTATAATCATATTGAGATCAGTCACGTTGTTTAAAAATAAAATAAAGAAATCATTCTCTTAAATTATAAATTCACATAATAGTTCCAGACTTAAACCTAACACTTATATCGGTTGTCTAAATCTTTCGATTGATGTTTAGGACTGAAATTGATCAGCCACTTAAACCTAACCCTTTATATTATAATGCATAATAATATTTTCAGAAGATGTTTACGTGAAAACTATTACTAAATTTTTGTCTATGTAATCCAATTGAATTTAGAATTGCTATACCTTCAAAATAATTTAAATATGGATAATTTAGTGTAGGTTTGCAATAAATAATATTTTTATCCAAGTTTCAAAACATTCATTATCGTCTTATAAGATTGAATTAAGTACATTCATGTGATATACAATAGAAAAACGTTATGTATTCTACTTTTTGATATCAGTTAAATAAATTAACTAACGATTACAACTTAGAGACTAACCTAACTAATTAAACATACTTGTAAAATGCAGTCAACATTTGCTAATTTGTTCTCGTTGATAAAAGCGAAGCTTCAAGCTTCTCGATAGTCATTAATAAAACTTTTCTCAATCTTGAGTAAAAACACAAAGCATAATACAATAATAAACAAAATAATCTTTCTAATCAGTAAGTCGAATAGCCATGTATTTTCGTCTCCATAACTTATAAACCCCGATGTTATTGATATTCATTAAGTGAATGACTACAACTGTTAAAGTTTATATCATTTTTAATTCAGTTTATCCTAAGTTTCATGATAAGTTACACTGCTAATTTATTAAGATCGTTCACATTCAATTTCAATGTTCTTTGTATACTTTGATTATTATTAGGAAAGGCTTAATTCAGAAGAATTCAATTTGTACAAATCACAATCTATTTGAAGTCTCAATTCTTCTGAATAAGTTCAAATATGATAACCGGAAAAAGAAACAAGATTTGTTTGAAGCAATTAGTCCCTCTTACCCTTCATTTCTAGTCTAGTTGACCTTTTATATTATTACATATAAATGTTCTTAACAAGTTTATTATGTGTGGTCGGATTGTTCGAAATGTATTACGCTAATATATCACATAGTTCTGATAATCTTCATCTTCCTATTACACTATAACAATTAATCAAAGGGACTAATTGCTTTAAAAGTATAATGTTCAATGATTTCACTCTATAAAAAGACAAAAAAGGTTGCGTCACACATACATAGGGAGGGGTAATCATGATCTCAAAATTAGGGTATGTGAACATGTACTAAAATTGCTGAAGAAACAAATAGAATCAAATATCCCAATAAGAGTAGAAAATAAACATTCATCATCCTCTGTTGCCAAACTCATAATTAAAGCAGGTTATAAGATTGATTTTAACTTGACTTTGTTGGTGTTGTGCAAAAGTGCAAAAGGACATATACTATGATTTATTCAATTCTTAGTCATACGAAAATTAAAACCCCCTCTGTGTGTTCAGAAACAGTTTGTTCTCATCTTCAAATTGTTTTCATATTATTACTTTATTATCCTTGTCTCGTCTTTTCCCCTTCATTTCTAGTCTAGTTGACCTTTTATATTTTTATATATAAACATGCTTAACAAGTATATTATGTGTGATCAGATTGTTTCAAATATATCACTTTAATATATCACATCGTTGTGATAATCTTCATCTTCTTATTACATTATCAAAAAATTTGTTTGATTTCATATACTATTAAACTTGTCAATTATAAACTATATATTTAACAACTAATGTTTCTATTCTTTCAAAAATGTAAATCTAAGTTAAACAATGAAGAAAGAAAACCCTTGAAACTTGTCAACAACAAAAAATGTACTCACTTTAAAATTTTGTCCTTGAAATAAACATAAAATAATGGATAATATTGAAGATTTCAATAATTTATTATAAAATCCATAATATTTATCTACTTTATTCATTGTAAAGAATAATTTTTATTGTTGCCGTTGTTGATGTTGGGTGTTGCTGCTGCTGGTGTTGTTGTTGTTGTTGTTAATAAATCAAAGTAACTAATAATTTTCACAAAAGAAAACTTGTTATTTAAACGTTTTATATAGATTGTGTGGGTGAGTGTGTGTTTTCTTTTCTTTTTAACCAAACTATTCATAATAACCCATTATGATCAAATGTTTAACTAGATCAAGATTTTGTTTTATATAAGTCAGTAATTATTATTTATTCAATATATATGTATATAATTCTGTTACAAAATGAAATCTGTAACCAAATGTTATAACAAAGTGAAATTTTTTTTAAAAAAAGGGGGGTCTTAAATGATTAAATTGTAATATATAGAGGAAAGAAATCATAATGTGATAAAATATAGAAAATGATTGGCAAGTAGAAATGTAAACACTTTTTTGATTTAGTGCACAAATATGTGTACACAATTAAAACCCTATAATTTATTGAATAATCATTTAATAGTGAAATATGTTCTCTTACATAATTATTATGAATATATACACAAATACATATTTGTTAACTAGTCAGTGAATACCTAATATTTCGTTAACCAATTCGCGTATATACACCATTTACAGGGTCTGTGTTCATGCATATATACATATATGCGCATCATTTTTACACGAATGAATAATTAAGCCAGATGGAAATTATAAATAAAAACAATCTATGAATTGTAATTCTTAATGTAGTGATATAATACTCAACTTATTTATGATAAAGCTTAATGTCTATAGTGATTACTTACTGAAAGTATATCATAAATTAACAAATGGAAAACATAGATAGAAGATATGAACTAATGCAAAACATAAAGGAACATTTCTTTTTAATTATTATTGACAGTAATTAATTTATTAATGTATGGGTATAAAAAACGAAGGTCAGTCAGGTCATCTTACTTTCTTTTTTTCAATTTCATTTCATCATTATTTGTTTATACATTTTAATATTGTTCTATGTTTGAATTATATTCCATAAATAGATACCTGGAATAGTAAATGTTTGATTGCCTCTTTTTTTTCTTCTTCTTCTAAATTAATAATCCAGTCACTCAACTTTGACTAACTTAACTCATTTCAAATGTAAACATTTTTATTTAATTATTAATGTTCTACTATTAGCCACTATCAAGACCAATATACACAATATGCATATATGTCAATAACAGACTGATCAATTGCAGTTCTAGACATCAATAGAAAGATTCAAGTAAATCATACGAAGTAAATTCATCAGTGTTTGTTTTATTTTTGATCAAAATTGTTATTATTTTTCAGATTCCTCTTTTTTTTGTTTTTTCTTTAAATCAGAAAAAGTAAAGATCTGCTGATGAAACGTTTCTCAATTCTAAACCAAATCATTTTTTAAGTTCTGTCTAATAATTTCTTTCTTTCTTTCTGAGGGAAATAAACAATAGAATAAATAAGGGAATAAATAATAGTGTGGTGCGTGCTACTTATATCGATGTAAGTAATATATGACGCGAGTTAAAAACGCAATTTCTGGCAGCAGAAGATGGGGGAACATCAAGAAAGGAAGAGAGATAACACAATGCAATTTGTAAGAAAACGCATGAACAATGAAATTTGAGACAATGGATTGATGTTGGCAACAGGAACAGTTCGGTTTGATATGATGAATTGATATTTTGCAAATTAAGGATTTACTATGTGGTTTTTCTATTTTCTCAAATAACTCTGTAATTCTGTGCTAAACACAATTCGGTTGTCCTCACCTGTGTTCTCCTTCACTACAATAGTGCAATAGTACATAAACATAAAATCAACAAACAAAGAAAACGATGTGTACAGACTATTTGAAAACATTTTAGTAATATTACATTCACTGGCCTGGATAGTTTAATTTTCCTGCTACTATTGTTGTATGCATTTAGAATAATAGATTCGTCATTAAACTATTCATTTTAAAGTATGAAAATCCAACAATAGTATTCAGCTAAGAATAAATGACTCCAACACATGAAAATATCACATATAGTTGAGTACATGATAACTGAGATAAATATATCCATATAGTAAATGAAACTATTCATGATTGTCAGATGAAAATAAGGTAATGTTCATACAGAGTTGATTAGTGGCCATGAGTGGAATCAAAAGTGCATATGTCTTCCTATTTTTAGACTTATCACATAAAAGTACATGAATTCTAGTGTTACCGTTCATTTCAAGACATGAACCAACAACTTTCATTTTAAACACCAACTCGTTATTTACTTAGCTACTTATTTCAGATAACCACTTGCTTATGGAAAGGAGATGAACTATAAGGCGTCCAATCTTTTTTTGAGGTAAGGATTGCAAATGATCTTTCATTGAGTTCAATTTCCGATATAAATCTCAACACTGAGGTTCTAGCCACTAACCGGCCCTCCCTAAAAATGGCTGTGACTGATGTTAATATGGAGGCAGTTCTATCGGGATTTATTATTAATTACAGCCGTCAGCAACAATACCGGAGAGATTTGAATTGGTTGAATCAAAAAATGATGTTAATTTCCAATACCCCTTAGATTATTAGTATGGGTTGTGGAGATTATTCAGTTCCATTGAGATCATGAACCGACTAATGTTAGACCACTACTAAAAATCGGGGAGGACTAGAAGGCCACTTCGTCCTAGTATGGGACCCATTAGAAGTACGCAAAATAGTGGATTGGTTGAAGTTAGACATTAACACGGTTGGAAGTCTGTTCAGTGGTCAAGAGGTCAGACATTCGCGTGCGACCGAAGGTCCTGGATTTGAGTCCCATCAGTGATGCGAACTGCTAAATAATAACCTACTAGGACGAGACGACAGTCCACTACATCCCGGTTAATCCCATATGTATTTGCCATCATATCAATTTAAATATGGAAACTGAACAGAAACGATCAGTGAAGAAGAACAAATAATTATCCTTCTTTGTGAGGATATAGAGCTGATAACTGGTCAGACATCGTATGCTTAGCAACAAAGAAGTATCCAGCTGAAAAGTTGAATGGCAGGACCATGTAAAAGAAGATAATTATTAATCAATACTCACAATACTTGTTTCAGTAACTGATTAAAATAACTAATTTCGTTTCAAGATATTTGAATAATTTTACGAACTGATATTCATCAAACTGTTTGGAAGTTGAAAAAGATTATATATTCTGAAAATTAAGACCTTCATCACGATTAGAGTCAATTTTTATGAATCTGTTTACATCTGTAAAATTACTCCAATTTTTCAGTCATATTTCTGCTTTTGTAAAAGCTTTAACTAATTGTCTTGGATTTTATTTTACCCAACCGTAAGCTTTTGGGTTAAACCATATTAATTTTGACTTGTTTGACTGTACACATTGGATTCGGTTGAATTCCTTAATTATTAGTAGATATAATAAAGATTTTTGTTAGTCATGAATCCTTACCTCTTTGATAATTAGATTTTTTCTACCTATTCGTTGAATCACAAATTTTACAAGTTATCTGGAACATTTGTTAAATGTATACCGACGAAGCAATACTGTTAAGATCTTCTGTATATTTTATGTTTATACCAGTGTTCAAATACTACCGTAAATACCATCAGACAATAGTGTTTTGTTGTCTTCTGCTGTAGTTACATGTTGACAACATAAGCACTACTAATGTACAGAATGAGAAAAAAAGCTTAAATACAATCCAGAATGTGTTTCTACATCTACTACACTCAAATAAGAATTCTCAAAATTGCAGTAACTACAGTATTGCTCCATCTTACAAGTAATTAATAGTGATCCCCCACAGTCCTATACAAGATCTGATTAAAGAATTTTTTCAAGTTTGTAACTTTGAAAGCATACAACTGATTCACAACTTTCATACAGTGTATATTTTACATGTTATCACAAACTACTATTATCAAGTATTAATTTCATCTCTTTTAAAGTAGAGGAAAAAATGTGTCGATAAAAACAAAACCACTATTCATATCATGGTTATTATATTGAAATAAAAATTATCGCCTACATTTAATCTTCTATAGTCCCAGAGAAAAAAAAATTGTTTCGTAATTTAAAATAAAGTCCAAAATTAAGTTCATTGCAGAGAAGCCCAAAACTATTTTTCAAAACTTAAGTAATACATTTAAAATTTACATGGTACATTTATTATTAATGTAAATTATATTAATATCAGATGGGTTTTGTGGATATTATAGTAATTTCAATGATTAAGATCATGAGTCAGTTGAAGCTAGATCACCATGGAAAACCTGGAAGCACTGGACGGTTGACTCATGATCTTAACCATTGAAATTACTATAATATCCACAAAACCCATCTGATATTAATCAACATATGCTCATTAGTGACTGGCTTCAAGAGGTATTTCCTGGAGTTCTAGTGAGGAGCACTGACCAGTGGAGTTCAATCAGGTCTGTTGTGAGATATTAACTCACTGAAGAAAATGGTGGATGTGTTGCTCAATTTAGTGGATTAGTTAAAATTAGACATTAACACCGTTGGATGCCGGTTCAGTGGTCTAGTGGTCAAGTGCTCGCGCGCAAAACCAGCAGGTCCTGTGTTCGAATCTCGCGAAGCAGGATCGTGGATGTGCACTGCCGAGGGGTCCCACAATAGGACGAAACAGCTGTCCAGTGCTTTCAGGTTTTCCATGGTGGTCTAGCTTCAACTGACTCATGAACTTAACCATTGTAAATTATATTAGTTTACTTCATATGTATAATGATATACAAATGTCTATAATAGAATACAAAATTATAATTCTATTTAAAAGCTTTCTATGCATGGTTTCAAATATCATCAATGTTCATTATCAATATTCTTACTGTTTATTATTTCAATTACCTACCCAATTTAAATTTTGTTCACTATTTTTTTCTAAAAAAAATTTCACTTAAACAGATACCGAATTTTGTAAATAAGAAAAAATCAACCTTTAGTCTCATATTACATGAGAA